AATCTCAAATAACCTAATAATATTACTTGGTATTTTTTTCAAGAGCTGTTCTACTTTCTAGCAAAGGAAGTGTGTTGGAAACGCATTCGTGCTGAATGAACTTAAACCACTTAAATCTGTCGAAAAATGCAAAAAGAAGCATATCAATTTGTAAGGGCAAATGTGAAAATTTGTTTTGTTTTCATTTACCTAATACATATCTACAGACTGTAAATTCTGATCAAATATAATGACTTATTCTGAATATTCTCGCGAATAACCCAATAGACTAACTGTACAACTACAAGGAAACTGAAAGGAATAATATGGTAGACAACATAATAGCTTGATATTGTAAAAATGGTTAGAAAGTAACCAGTAGGTTAATCTTCCTTTCTATTAAACCGTTAAAAGATGTTATAATCAATAAAAACAATATCAAATTTACGCCAAACTAATGGAGCTGTTTGCCATTTATTGTGTAACTCCTTAAGAGTGTGGTTGGGTTTTTGTAGCGCCACCCTGCCTGCATGCATGGTATGTCTATGTCATGACAAGTTTAGTATAAGTCGTCCAAACCAATCCACAAGAGTAACTCTTAGAGGTGTTTTACTCATTTATTGTGCATTTTGTCCAAAATACCATATAACGAATAATTTAACGATATTACTCTAAAGATGATAATATTTCAACTTACAGACATTTTCTGTTTATTTATCTTGTTAATATCAACTATCTGTATTTATATTTCATCATATTTATACGTGATATTCTCTTATATAAACATTTCCACGTCTTTAAAATCACAGTTACCGACATTTTGGAAGGAAGAAAAATAATATTTCTATTTGATTGGCTACCTTTTGTATTTAGATAAATACTATGCAGCCAGTGTGATTATGTAGTTTGACAAAATGAAACAATATCTGGAGACATTTCACTTTTACAGTTATACAGGCTAGAACATGTTTACAACTTGGTGGGTATTCTAGCCTGATAGTCCTACACTAAACAGCTATCAATAAAACTATAATATAAATAACAGTTACGCATACGTTTAAACTTTGATTAATTTCCGACCAATTTCCAGGCAGGTTAATTGAGCGTGGAAACGGTTATTCTTTCAGCTGTAATTAGTTATTTGTAATTAGCTATTTGAAATATTATGTATCCTGAATTCTGCTTCCTGTAAAGGATATAAGTATATCAATGGTAGTATCTGCTTTTGGAGTTTTCTGTATGAAATTTATAAAACCATTATCAGACGAGCGTAAAGACGGACGTATAAATGTCTAATATAGCCTACTAGCCAAGATATTTGATCTGTTATCAAGACAAAGTTGATAAACAGTAACTTTTTTTTTTTTTTTTAAATACTTTGGATGACCTTAATATCCTAGCCTGTGCCTCTGATCTTTAATTTGATCTTGTCTCTGAGTAGTTTATTTTGGCAATTAAATTAGTTTTTCACTTTAGAAACATTCCACCACAATAAAAATGTTTAAGAGTACGAAGTCCGTTATCCGTATGTCACCACGGGTTTGGTGAAGCCACATATCCAAAGAATAGCCTGTGACATCTCACTCTCTCCCCTCCTACCGATTTATAGAAATACCACTGATCTGGTATGAAAATTATTGATGATCATGTAATCGATTTTTATCGTTAAATTGATATCCAAAAAGAAATATCGTGCTTAGTTTGCATCTAGACATAATTTGTTTTCAGTACAAGTTTGCTATTACGATTGTATCAGAATTGCATATCGGAATTTCTGTACAACAACAGAACCAGTGGGAAAATTGACATATTATCAATAAACATCAACGCTTTAATCAAGGAAATTATGAGAGTAATGATAGTTGTTTATTATTATAGATCATGTGGTAGAACTGTCAACCCGAGGAATTTATTCCGGAAATTACTTTCTTACTACGGAACCAATGGAACTAGTCTAAAGTACATCTGTAGAAGACTTTTTGTTATTTGTTATTGTGTTGAATTCTCGATAACAAGTAACACGAATATCAAATTAGAGCTTCATTTTACGTACTATAACAGAGCTATGTTGATTATAAGAAAGTAAATTAATGTACTTCGTTTTCAGACCTTATTTTACCAATATCTGTGACAATTAAAGCTGACATACGTCCAAAAAGATGGAAATCAACCAGACAAAAAATATTTTAATCATTCTCAAGGTCCAACGCGTGCATAAAAATATGACCCACTCAATCATACCCATTTTCTTTAAGCATTTCAATTAAAAAGTTTCCAGTTGTTTCTAAAACTGAAAGGCATTTAAGAGGTCAAGCCTTCTCTGATAGCGATTTAGATATTGTACGTGACTAGCAGTATCAAGGCAATAATTATATGAAGATAAGTTTTAACTCAATAAATGAATTTTAGATTTTTGCGACTTTAAATCGACATTTTCTAGCCGTAACCTGCCTATAAATCCTATTCATTCCTATCATTATTTTCTACACTGCGTTACATTCTATAAAACATTTACATTAAACTCTCCTAAATTTCTCTCTCTGAAATATTTTATTGCTGTTAAAATATACGATTGTGAAGATGAATATTCAATAACGTAAAATGTAGCTATATTTCTGACAAATTTGACATAACTAAGATTTATATGTAACAGATATTGCTGCTGTTTTTTTTAATTCAAATCACATTCATTTACACAATGGAAAAACCACTTATCTGAAATTCATTCCATGCACTGTGAAGGGATGTTTCACGTGTACAGCCCCTGTACGTTTCCTTCATTATATTGTCCGAACGACAAAGACGTTTTCTCATGGCAGCCCTTGAACCACTGACAAGGAGAAATTGTGAATCTCGACCCATGCCAAGATCTAAAGCAACTCTAAAGCAAATTTTTGAGTCGTAACCTTAACATTCTTTCTCATTTCAGGTATATATTTAACGATCGTCATGTTTTTAACATCAGTGTCTGTTATAATGACTGTATTTGTGTTAAATCTTCACCATAGAGGACCAGATAAACGTTCAGTTCCACGTTGGTTACGTAAATTATTCCTTGGACAGCATGGCTCCATGTCATTATCAACTCGTCAAAATGAGCTTCACCGACATACGTCAACACGGAAATCTGCCAATGACAATAACTTTATGAGAAATTTATCTTTAAAATTAACTCTTGAAAACATAGCACAAGATCTTCAAGATCAAATACTTCTAGAGAATGGTGTTACTGACTCGATGGGTAATGATTCTCATCATATGTGTAATGATAGAGGAGGGTATTTACCACATAGTTCAGACCAATCATTTCATAAACAGTCCAGTTTTCGTGGCAGAAATGCCAAATCATACGAAGACATTATCTTATCTTTATCCCGGTTGTTGGACAAACACGATCGTGAGGAAAATGAATACGAGGTAATGCAAGAATGGAGAAGACTTGCTCAAACAATTGACCGCATTTTGTTTTTTATTTTTCTGTGTGGAACCGTGTTCTCGACGCTAGCTATTCTGGTCATTGCTCCTGCCACCCAGGACCATTATCTAAAATGATTTGATATGGAACTGAATTTTTTTTTTTCGATACTTTTTCTTCCATTTCACGATTCTTGTAATCTGTGCTTGAATTGTGTTCGAATTACGTCATCGACAGCCTTTCTCAGGATTGTTCTATATTTTCAACTATATATATTTTTTTCTTGAGGTATCGACATGGAAGACATTTTAAACAACATGACAAATAGATATTCCAAATCAAAACTTGTCTTTGTTAACAATTTCAACAGTCAGTGCATTTCCGGTTAAATTGACTACATATTGACATTTACTTTACAGAAGATACAAAATTACTAGAAATCAAAAAATCAAACATGAGTACAGATCAGTCAATGAATCTGGTAAACCAGTAGATCCGTTATAGTTGTCTAATTAGTTTTTATTTCAGCTGATTACAGTCAATTAGCTATCAGACGAATTTTGTGTGAAATATTTAACTCCTATGGATATTCTGTGAATGTCTCTGCAAGACTTTGGTGTCTTGGCCGAAGAGTTATTCATAAGCGTCTTTAGTGATTCGGGATTCGCTTTCTCATTCTCCAGTTTCGTTCGATCTAAAACAAAGGATAGGAAAACATGCTTTTGAGATTCAGAACTGGGCCTCATTATGAACCTTTCTCTTCTTGATAGTTGACGTTTTTGTAGTTTATAAAATGGTACCTATAACGTTTATAACACGGCAACGAACTTTGATTTTAACACAATTGTATCCTCTCTGTAATGTTGAATTTAATTGTATATAGTTATCTTGGGGTTATGGTATACAATTCTTTTTTTTCAATATTTGCACGGTCTCTTCACATATGTGAACGAACCATTTTGAGCTTTGGGTATTGTGTGCTGTATATTAATTATTCACTCAATAAGCAAGTAGTATTTCACACGTTGGACACAACTTTGTGTAAAAAGAGTCTTATTTCTTGAGGATTTTCGAATTGAAAATTGAGAGACAGGTAAAGGTGATCATTATGTCAAAAAAACTTAAATTAACTCAAAATATTATTTTCCGTGAATCTGTAAAAAATTGTATAATGTGAAGGATTTATTCTGTATGACAGTTTACGAAATAAAATATAAACAGTCACAAAACTACGATAAATTACAATACATCTAGGATTGTTCTTTTCAATATCTCTAATTTCACGCGTTAAAATTCTGTTAAATAAAAAGATTAAATAAAAACCGCGAACTGTCATTGAATGAAAAAAAAAGATTTTCTTTAATTTTTTTGTTACGATATTATGATTAAAGTGCTATGTTACAGTGTATTTGGATGTTTTGTGTGTAATTATGTTATTTTATGTGATGTAATTGGAAGGATTTAACTATTTGTAAATATTATATTTCTATTAAACTGTATCATTACATAAAATTGGAGCAACACGCCGCCATATTGGCCAGAACAACTTTAGAAGATAAAGAATTTCAACTACAATAGGTGCATACAAACTTTCAGCAAAGTCCCACAATAAACGTGTCCGCATCGTCTACGGACCTCTGGATTTGCCATAAATCTAGTACAGTAACCTCTTGGTTAGGCACCTACTACAGTAAACTCTAGATTCGACACAAACCCCGTACAGTAATTTCTTGGTTAGCCACAAACCTATTAAAGTAACCTCTAGATTGGCCAAAAATTTCAGCAAACCCCAGGATAGCCACAAACTGACTACAGTAATCTCTTAGTTAGCCACCTACTACAATAACCTCTAGATAGACCATCTGCTACAGTAACCAACAGATTAGCCACAAATCTACTACAGTCATTTCCAAGTTAGCCACAAATCTAATACAGCCATTTCCAAATTAGCCACATATCTAATACAGCCATTTCCAGATTAGCCTCAAATCTAATACAGCCATTTCCAGATTAGCCTCAAATCTAATACAGCCATTTCCAGATTAGCTTCAAATCTAATACAGTCATTTCCAGATTAGCCTCAAATCTAATACAGCCGTTTCCAGATTAGCCTTAAACCCACTACAAACCTCTATAGCGACTTATTTAACCGCGAAAAACTTATTGTTCCAAACCATGAATCTCTTTCAGAGGTTCCAGAGCTGATAGTAAGTTAATTTTGTATTCCGTTCATCAAGTGGTGTTGGTTCTGTAGGCGTTCACTTCCATGATCTTGCATTAAATATTTCAACTTCAATTTTCTCCTTAAGCGCCTGCAGTGATGTAAATTCATGTCGCGACACATTTCAGGAGTTTATAATAATTAGCGGACGGAAGCCACTGTGCCGTTGGTGCAATGAAATTGTAATAGAGCGACATTTAAGTAGGTGATTAGACTGCCCTCTAGGGATGTTCACCATACCGGATTAGAGTTATCTATTCTGTCATATATTTGACAAACTAGAATACAAGCGTCTCACTTAATCCACGGGGAGTTGGAAGATTTCAGACGAAACACATCTCGAGTTCAAAACTATCAATTTGGTCAGTGATGGAAGTGATACATTTTATGTCGACGTGTGAGACAGAAAATAACATTCATCAATTAAAATAGTTGAAACCATGTCGACCCTTTGTTTATATATCAATATTGAATTTTTAGTTTAGTCTGAAATACACACATTGTCATTCAATAAAGGCATTTACACATATTTATTATCGTATATTATATCAGTTTCGACAAAAATAGTTTAAATGTTAGTAGTCTATTTGCCGATAGGGTGCTGTGTTATTAAATACAGATAAGAGGATCACAAACCTAGAATCGTATGGCTAAAGGGGTTCAAAACATTACGAACAAATGTTGTCTACTTCCTTCTTTCACAGTATAACAGAAAAGACACGGACTGTTTTCTGAAAACAGAATAAAATGACAATTGGCTCCAAACAAACAAAAAATGGTCATTAAACTAGATAATTGTACAAAATTCATTTACATTTCCTCAATTGTGTCTATATTTTCTGGTTCTATAAAAGTTTTATTTGATTTCAAACTTCATTATTTCATTACTTCATGTATTCTATATATAATATAATAATTCAGGTTGTCAAACTCACAAATTAACTTTATAACTTCACTTCAGAATCGTCTTAAGGAAATTAGAAAATGTGTAGGTTGGTCAAACAGCAAGAAAAAGTGCTCGTGTGCGAATTTTGCTATTATTGTCCTTCAGAACACATAGATCTTCATGTAACAGATAAAAGCCATTGAATTTAGACATTTGACACCAACATTTTGGTATCATGAGGATCTGGATCGATAATATTATCTTCCGGTTTGGATGGTTGGTTTTAAGTATCAAATTGTTTTTTACAGTCTACAAAAATTCAGAACAACGAGAAATAATAATGCCAAGTTAAATGAATATCACATTGTGAGTTGTGAGGTACCTTTCCTACCGTGGCCCATTGGGAACATTTGCAATTTTTTTATTTTTCGACGTTTCTCAGTGGTTTGAGAGCAGAGTAAGAGCAAATAATTTCAAACGCGGTGGTAATTAATTTCAACCGTGGTGGTAATACATTTCAACCGCGGTTGAAATTAATTTTTGCGATTTCACTTTGAATTTTTTGTGTTTTTCATAATATTTTGGAAAATTTAATTTTTCATGTTTTAACTATTTTTACGATTTTGATTAATTATTGTTTTTATGAATTTTTGTGATTTTTATGTATTTTGTGTCATCTTTCTAATTAAAGTTTCTATATTTCCCTCCATTCCTTCTATTTTTTGTCGGTTTCTCGAATTTTCACAATTTCAATTCCTGTTTTCTGCAGTTCTTCTGCTCTCAAACCACTGAGAAACGTCGAAAAATAAAAAAATTGCAAATGTCCCCAATGGGCCACGGTACTTTCCAGATCTTAAAACAAACTCACAACCAGAAGATACAATCGATATAAAGCCTCGACCCTCAGGGAAGAAAGAAACCTGCTTTATACTATTGAATCAATGGCTTCACCACGCACGTAAAAGGGCATATTATTCTTGATAGTCAATATGAGATACGTGGTAGGATACTAATATAAATGTTACCTCCGGCCTTTTATTTGATCTTGAGTGTGAAATATCAACGATATGATTAGAATTATGAACATGGTCAATTGAAGTCTTCATAGAATAAAAAAAAATTGATTTCCAATTTGACTCCTATAATAATTGAGAATCAAACATGAAATAAGGCAGGTAATTATTTTCGTTGGAGAGTACAAGTAGGTCAATGTCTGGATCAGAACACGTTTGTCTCATTTTGACAAATATTTCAGACTACTCCAAAAACACATTAAGGTGGCTAAAAGTGTCACAGATTACCAATAAACCAATAATATGCCATAGATTTTTATAGATGAGGATAATTTCTTTTAAAAGTGAGATAATGTAATTTATTGTTATATTGATGGATTGTGGTTTAATGACCTTATTTCAATAAATTTAATCATTATGACTTGATTTAAAGTAGGAAAGTTAATGAATCCAGAAAGGTTTTATTCTCATAAAATGGCTCCGTAATGAAGTTATTACATCAATTTCGGATGAACAAAAAATATTGCCACTTAAAGCACTAAAGGTGATACTCAAATCAGTATTTCAAACGATTGGTCTCACTGATTTACTAAACGTTGCTTTTTACTACCACATTGTCAATGATACCGAATAAATCTGCACTTTAATTGTGATGCAATATCGAAATCTGAAACAAGAATCATCCTTTGCCAAAAGTTAACTCTTTTTACAGAGTATTGTTATTCTTTGATCATTATTGTCGACGAAACATATTTATCAAATCAGGATGTTTCATATATATTACAACCAAAGAAAATCAAGTCTGTACTTTAGTTGATGTGCAGATCGGAAACCTGTACCATAAACAATTCTATGCAGACTTGTTTATAACTTATTTTGTGTACTTTTCACAGTTTTGGTCATTACATAGTCAACTTAACATATTTATCAATTCAGGACGTTTAAAAAAAATACACCAAAGAATCTTTAACATCGACATCAAACCCAGCATGCTTTTACTTCAACATTTTGAAATCTGCCCGAGGCAATTGTGTTGAACTCAATTAGAGCCCAGAATCTCACTGAATAATGTTCAAATACTTTTTCTGGAGATGTCACGAGCGTATTGAAGAAAATATGTTTGAAATTCTTCAGAAATTCAATGAAGTTATCTCTATGTTTTATGTGGAGACTTTTTTCTTGAAGTTTGTTGTAATTTATTGATTTTCAAGATAAAACCATTTAAACATTCTGTTTAACAGGCTTCAAAAGATAATCATTGTAAGATTAGCGAGGAATATTACAGTATTCAATGTCTCTTAATGCGTAGATAAAATGTGTACTTATAGACAGAATTCAACTTCGGTAGGTTTTTTAACTGTAGGAGCTTTGAATGCCCAACAGTTATTGATTTTTATTGTGGCTTATTAATTAGACTGGAAGTCAGAAGAAAATAATCATAATCAATCTGAACGAAAGACGAAGAACAAAGGCCTTGTAATAACGATTACTTGTTTCAAATGTTAGTTTTCTTCAAGAAAGGTAAATATTCTGATTAAAGATGTTCGATTTGAAGAAATTTCAATTAAAGTTATGGCTGTGAACATTGTTCAAAAAGTCGTAAAACGTTATTAACAATGAAAATGTGAATGAAAAGTAAATAAAAAGAAATCTGAAAATGTAAAAGAAATGTCATAAATAAATCTAATGATGTATAAAGGTCTTCACCAATCAATGGCTTGTCTTAATGATTTCCATAACAAAATATTCACATATTCTTTCACGTGATGTAGTTTATGTATCTAAGTTCAAATAATCAAAAGAAGCAATTTACTTTCACAAATTAATTTTGTAGAAGATTAAAAAGATAAACCGGAAGTTGTCTCTTTTGATGACCTTCACTCTCCGGGCAAATTGGATCAAATCAGGCTAAACAGAGAAAATTTTGACTCAAACTTCGACATCAGTCAAACTAGAATCCACCAGAACACGGTCACGATTTTATCTTTACTTGGACTTAGCCAAAAGGCATTCATCTGATAGCATGATTTTATATAATATTAAAATTTGCAAAAGATATATCTAAAGTTTATTTACATCTAGGCCTACTTGTCTTGTTTCTTGTAATAAAGCATTCAGCTAAAAGAGTACATAAATAGCGGAAGGAATACTGCAATCGAGGTAAGGAAACGAGGATCGCCTGGGCTACGAACAGTGCATTGGGTAGCGAATTTGAATTCCTAACCATAAATCAAAATTTGCAAAAAGCACTTAGTGGAGTAAAAATCAAATTGGAATTTTTCAAGGACAGCGGCCATAACCTAATCCTCTTTCAATTTCCAACTGTCGAGGGATCTTTAGCGTAAACAGCCTGTAGCACACGGGGTTCATTCTCTCATTCGTACTAGACGCTTCGAAACCGGGTTGAAAAATACCGGTAAACTATCATATATAATTATATCAAACCCGGTTTTGATTTTGAGATTATGAAATGAAATATTGTCAAAGACTGACAATATCAGTAAGTCATATCAAAACAATAATTTTAATAATAATGATTCATGATGAATACAGTTTATTGACTTTTTAAGCGTCACTAAAATAATGTGGAATAACAAACAAAACCATTAAAATGGATAAAGACATTGAAATTAAATATATCAGAAAAGAGAACTTATCAACAACCTCCGCAGCATAAAACCATTGTCTTCTATTAAACAGACTATATTCTATAGAATCACGATGTTTCCCCAAACGAGAATTCTTTATATTTTGTTTTGGCATCATTGGTTCAGTGACTACATCATTTCTTTCAGAATCAGAGATAAACTTCCGGTTCCTGACACGAACAACAGACTCAGTAGCTATGACGTCAGGGTTGTCAATATGTGTGATGTCTGATTCTACATTTGACATATTTTCACCATTCTCAAACTGTCTGTTCTGTAAATTACTATGACCTTCTAATTCCATGGCGGAATTATCATTACCATTTAAAATGGGAACAGGTTTCTCCCAAATAAAACTCGTCAGCGCTATTTTACTCAATACGACGTGACATAACCATAACAACCAATTAGGAACCTCGCCACATTTATCTTGTTCACCTTGTTTCTTAATGTTCATAATTAATGTAGCCATAATTAACGAACCACAATTAAATGTCATCACCATCAGCAAAAATACTCCTGAAAATATGTAAAAGAGTAGCATTTTATCATACACGTTACAGAATCAGTAATTAGAAAAATCATTTGGCTTTAGGTCATATATTTGCTGGGAACCTCTATAACCTTGTCAATAAAGTTTATTTATAAAATCCTTCAAATGAAAATACACGTTATGTCGGCATTAAAAAGCTCAAGAAAATAGATGAACATAAAATTAGATTTACTTCCTGCATTTCCGGACCTCGTTTTTTCCTATCCAAACAACTGAGAGCCTTGTCCTCGTCAGCCCTCAAACCTCAAATCTGCATCACTGATAGAGAGACACAAATACCCTCTTATCTCCTGGATATATATATATTATCTATCTATCTTATGGATAGGTACTATCTTGTAGTCAATAAGGGTAGTCAATATTATTCGTATAAAAGTACGTACCTAAGATTGGAGTTGAGTTGGTATCAGGAACATTTTCAGCAATAAACAACTGTACAACATATAATGTTAAAAATACTGTTAAACCAATGGCTATCTTCTCGCCTTTATGACACGGTAAGAGGAAAGTAAATAATGTCATAAAGCATAACATAATAGTTGGTGCTATGACTATATAGTCATAATATAGAGACTTTCTTTTGACATGTATGAATATACTAATCATGGTATGAGTACCACCCCCGGGACAACAAGACGCATCCACTAGTTTCCTTGTTACACTGGCATTGATCAGGTCATATTCACTATTGACTATATAGTCACTGATATCAACTTGAGATTCCTTCAGGTGCATGTCGACTTGAGTGATGTCGTAAATCCACGACCCGAACCGCAGCTCACATTTCTGATAATCGTAAGGAAAGTATGTAACGTCAACACTACAAGAGCTTTTCAGCATTATAGGTATCATCCATCTAACTAAACCATCATAATGTATCATTACTTTACTTCCGGTTACATTTACAAAGCCGTCCAGATTTTCACCGGCGCTGAAAATTGAGATAAATACATAAACCAGTAAGAGGTTGACGACTTTATATGACTGGCAACAGGTTAACGTATACAGGGGTTTGAAAACTTGATTAAGGGGAGATAACAAAACTTCGAAACATGTTGACCGTTTTTAAAACATGGGCTGTATATCTGCTTATAAGCTTACTGAATGAAAGCTTTTAAAAATGTTTGACATTGCCATATATACTAAGAATGGCAACTTCCAGACCTTTTTACTGGTGAATACCGCCTGACAGACGCCCTACCCCCCTAGGTAAGATTAGGAGCTAATCCAAATGCAACTTTTTAGAGAAAATCAAGAATGACCACTGTCAGACACTCGCTGTGGTGGAAGCTCCCCGTCAGACGATCCAACTTAATTCTCACGAGGTAACCCACTGAAATATTTGTAACATTTTCGCCACTGCCACATGTATTAAGATTCACCACTGGCAGACATTTTCTGTGGTGAGAGTCCCAGCAATACGATCACTCACACTACCCCCATTGTTGAATTTTAACTTTTACTCACGTATTAAAGAGAAATAAATCAGGTAACCATATTTTAGTAGAAGGTATGATTAATGTATCTAAATTATTATATTTACTAGGATCCCACATCAAATTCTCAGCATACCATGTCTGAAATAGTATTAAATACGGCATTGTTAATATTACCTTAGTGGGACTAATCACTCTACTCAAGCTTCTATGATTGTGGCTACTAAAGTCCGGAATTTGGCGATTGTTGCCAAATAGTTGTTGACTAGCAAGAGTAACTTTGGAGCTAGTTAGCTAGGTATATCCTCAAAATGTTCAACCTAATAAAATTATCGAGAGAGGCTGTGAATTGTAATGCTCAGTCAAGTTTTGATCTGAATAGACAAGGAGAGATCTATGCACCCAGCCCAATCTTATTATGGAATCATTGATTGAAAGAATTAATAAGGTAGAATAAATAAGATAAGCTATGTTAATCTGGGAGACAACAGATGGTCTAGACTAGAACATCCAGTTGATTAACGAGAAGTGAAATACCAACATGTAGCAGAAGATTAGATAAACTCTAGAAGTTTGATTAGAAGATATAGAGTTACTAGAATGAATCTAGTTTTCCTGATTTAATTTGGAAACTAAAACTTTCGCAGCAGGCGTTCTCCGTGTGTACAGACCTTGACATTGTGGTAAACAGGAAAGTCACTTAGATGAACAAAAAGTAAAAAGCATTGATTATATCCAATGGAAATCATCACATTATCAAGATCGAAATTGGAAATAATTATCGTATTTCTTGTCTTACTTTCTAACATTTGTTGACCGGATTAATACGTATATAGTTAAACAGGACGAGAAAGAAAATGATCTATATCTCATACAGCTAGCATCACGTCATTACAACCATGTTTGTTTCAGATCTAACTGTTTGATAAAAATGAAAGCTATTCTAGAAGAATAAATACCTTCTATGCAAAACCTTACATCACATATAATCAAATGTTCAAAAGTTTGGTTTACAATAGCCCCCCTATATGTTTGGCTTACATTAAGTTTATAATCATCTTAATATATCATCTCTCTTGAACTAAAAATAATTTTCTAAAATGAAATAATTTTATTGCTTTGTTAGTTTTCTAAAGCATGAATGATCAAAGAAAGTTATTGAAGGCAACATTCTCTGTGTTTGTGGTCTTTTAAATACAGAGCTTTTATATGAAAAGTAGATATTTTCTTTTCGAGTGATTTATAAGAATACCTTATCTAATGCAATAGAAATTCATGCGATCAGGCTGATGTAAGATAATTGCTTACGGCAACAGACATTTAAAGGAATCTGAATACCGTTGATATGTATCAAAGGAAATGCCTGGAATATCTATTACAACTAGTGGCAGTAACTGTATTTATACAATAAACTCATTTATTATTCATACCTCATAGATCCAAACAGCTGTACTTAAAACTTGGTGTTTTTCTTCCTGGAAAATAAAGTCAAGGTTATCATAATATCTGACCATCTGAAACTGACCGACATGTGTACCATGTAGTCTGATTATAGAGTAAACGAGTTTAAATCTTTTGAAGAGAAACGATATACAAAAATGTCTAGAATACTAAATATGCCATCGATGGGTTAAAAGTAAAATTGAGAAAAGAATGATCTCGAAATTAATTTGATGGCCAGATTGTCTCATGTTTATACATTACATAGTTTTAAACGAGAGTGAAACATGACTTATGCAAGTTTATTTACAACTTGCGTTATCAGATAACAGAATAACTTTGGCTCATTAAGACCCTGAAACTACTTTACAGAATATAACCTACCAGAGCTCATCTCATGCTGTCGACAAGTGTTTCTGATACAATTCTCATAACCATAGAGTTGTTACGACGTAATCTATTGTACATAGACGTTTGAGCAAAGTAAGAGAACTCACTTAAAGGGAGTCTGAAGTCAACAACGAAACTATTCTGTAAAGTTTAATACAGGTGTATTATGCTAGATCAAAATCAGACTTTTGTTGAAAATATATTTGAAACTTACCAAGTCCAATATTTGGTTTAAAGCTATACCAAAATCTATATGAACAGTTTGGCTGGCATTCTGCACTGGTCTGGAATCATAATTATATTCTTCAAATAAATCTTGAAACAATCTGCTTTCAGTCCCTTGTATCTTCTCTATAAAATATTAACATAAAAACGTACATGTACCATCACCATAATATTATTCTATGTTATAAAATATTTGTTACCACCGTTCAGGTATTAATCTATCTTTTACAAAGATCATAAACGCTTCTTTTACCAAAAAAGGGACCTTTTCCATGCGCAATTTTCTAGCAAGGCATTGGAGGGAAATCAAACTATAATTTGTAACAAATAGTATAATCCACAATGAAAAAACAGTAGTACTATTGAAAGAAAAACAGGTATTAATAAACATCAGGAAAACCTTAGCCTGAATGTTGAGGTATAGATTAAGGAGATAGGGTTTTTCCGGACGGTCTCGATATCAGTGGTAAAAAGGAGAGCTAACTAGCGACCACGTTTCAATTTTTAGTAACCTACGATGATATTTATGATAACCAAAACTTGGGGTCGTTGTTTTAAAAGGCAGTGGCTATTTACCACTGGTGTGGTAAGCGTGGTAAATAGTCATAAGTACCCTTACAGCTATTTACCACGGCGTGCTACCTTCTTAAATTAGGCCTATGTCACCATGTTAGTCTATGGAAAAAAAATGTGGTATTTAAATTTTACCACGTTTTTTTTTAATGGTGGATTTCATCCAATTTTTTTTAATATTTCAAAAAATCACACTTTATAGGTTTCAAAAATATAAATATTGTGCACATTTCACATTGTTAGCACACTAAAATAAGTATTTTAATATCCCTAGCGAAGGAAAATATCCGCCATATTTTATATCGGTGACTGTAGTTTTTGTGCATTTTGGACGCTAAATTTCACAGTCCAAAACATTTCTACAATCGCTATATTTCACAGTCCAGAACATTTCTACTATATATGATGTGAACATCAAGGAATGCGTCAGCAAGCAATTCGTTTATATATACATTTTAAAGCTATACTTTTGACAGACTTTTATTGAATTTTTAAATTCCAAGCTATCTGTATCTGTATCATTACTGACCTAGACTACATACTACAATCAGGCACTATCAATATATGTATTATTACTGAACTAGACTACATACTACAATCAGGCACTATCAATATATGTATTATTACTGACCTAGACTACATACTACAATCAGGCACTATCAATATATGTATTATTACTGACCTAAACTACATTCTACAGTCAAACACTATCAATATCTGTATCATTAGTCACCTCAACAAGTTATACAATCAAACACTGTCAATATCTGTATCATTACTAACCTCTACTACATACTACAGTCAAACACTATCAATATCTGTATCATTACTAACCTCTACTACTTACTACAGTCAAACAATATCAATATCTGTATCATTACTGACCTAGACTACATTCTACAGTCAAACACTATCAATATCTGTATCATTACTGACCTAGACTACATTCTACAGTCAAACACTATCAATATCTGTATCATTACTAACCTCTACTACTTACTACAGTCAAACACTATCAATATCTGTATCATTACTGTCCTAGGCTACATACTCCAATCTAATACTATCAATATCTGTATTTTTACTGACTTTGACTACATACTACAATCAAACACTATCAATATCTGTATCATTATTGACCTAGACAACATACTACAGTCAAACACTATCAATATCTGTATCATTACTGACCTAGACAACATACTACAGTCAAACACTATCAATATCTGTATCATTACTGACCTCGACTACATACTACAGTCAAACACTATCAATATCTGTATCATTTCTGACCTCTACTACACACTGCAGTCAGACGCTGTCAAGATCTGTATCATTACTAAACTCTACTACATATTACAGTCAAACACTATGAATATCTGTATCATTACTGACCTTTACTACAAACTACAGGCAAACACTGTCAATATCTGTATTAGTACTGATCTCATCTATATACTAGTTTCAAACACGGATAATTCTGGACACACATGAGTTTAAAGGCTCAAATTTTGACGGTGAGCTTCGAACAATTACTGATTGGCTA